ATTTAATGAGTCCCAAGTGCCCCCTTGAGGCCAAGCAAGGTGGGAAGTTAGACTAAAAATATCACCCTTCCAAACTCCCATTCCTGAAAATAAAGGCTTGTACTTCTAAAAGATTGAGAAAGAATTCTGCAACTAATTACTTGCAATCTGTAAGGAAAAAAAAAAAACACCTCTGCAAGCAATAACCACCATCTTCTGGGATTTTATATATTACCTATGTTTATTAATAGGTGCCCCCCAAAAATCCCACAACAGCTTGATCATATAACATGCACTACTGCTAATCTAAACACAATCTTTGTGATTAAAATTTTAACTCAGACAGTGGTCAATCAGGTTAAAGAGAAAATCCTTTAATTTCGTAAACAACCTCATGACACGTTTCCTCATCTTTTGCAAAAACTCTTTCCTTAAAACCTCAAGGATTCAATATCTTTATTGGCCCCTATGTATATGTCTGTAATTAAAGTTGTCCCATGTGTTCAATTCAGTTATGGCTTTTTTCCTAATGGGGTAAAACTTGCAGTAGATAAAGATTTTAAAAAATAAACAAATCCCGATATTGATCACAGAAGATAGTGGGTATATTTCCTGGCCTTGGTCTTAGCTTGAGGTGGAAGAGAAAAAGAGAAAAAAGGTGTACTTCAAGAATTACATACAAGTGGCCGGACATGGTGGCTCATGCCTGTAATCCCAGCACTTTGGGAGGCTAAAGCAGGTGGATCACCTGAGGTCAGGAGTTCAACACCAGCCTGGCCAACATGGTGAAATCCCGTCTCTACTAAAAATACAAAAATTAGCTGGGTGTGGTGGCGTGCACCTGTAACCCCAGCTACTAGGAAGGCTAAGGCAGGAAGATCGCTTGAATGCAGGAGGCAGAGGTTGCAGTGAGCAGAGATCACGCCATTGCATTCCAGCCTGGGCGACAGAGCAAGAATCCATCAAAAAAAAAAAAAAAATGTGGCCTTAAATGATTATTTTAGACAAGAAAAAAGGTGTAAAGCCTCTTAACAGGGGTAATGGGATGAATG